ACAGCAGGAGGTTCTTGGCAAAGCAGTCTCCCACCTCGCTATGCCTAAAACTGTTCAGTGGTAACCGATCAATACTTTGATAACGTGTCAATCACACTAATACAATACCTCCCATTGTGCTCTCACTTTCTCTAACTACCAGGAGAGAGTCAATATGGGGTTAATCCCCCTTTTGATAAAGAAGGGATCCATGTGTAAAATCCTTCTCAAATATCTACCTCACACCTCGGCCACAGGAGTTCCTGACATTGTTTCCTACCACCCTTAGGAAAGACGGAAGAAGGCAGAACCATGATAACAACCCAAATGCATTTTCAATAAAAATGCTCAGCCACCCTGCCTCCAAACCCATCTCTATCACGCTGGGAAATCTCTTCCACCTCAAATCAATGAGTTTCACTACTTGCAGCAAACACCCTGGATCCTCAACTGATCTGTAGTGAACATTCGTTATCCAAAGCCAGTCTAGGAAAGGTAGACAGGAAATAGCAAGTTTGCTATTGTATCTATTTCATGCATTCAAATGACCAAAATGTTTAGGGAGTTCTGTAACTTTTTTTAAACTACAAAGCAAGTGTAAAAGGCTTAAACATGTAGTACTGAAGTCCACAAGATTGATGGTTTATCTGCAACTCCAAGTGATCACTTTATAAATGTTCTGCAGCTCCAATTGTTTGAAGTTGATCCAGATAAGAGATCATTGAATGTCCTCCAAATGTTGTAAATTGAATCAGGTAATTCAATTAGTTAAAAGCAGCTCTTGGACACCAGTTTTTGGTTACATAAATGAAATCAAAATGGGATTTTTTTTTGAATTTGCAAAAGAAATTCTGTTCTATTTATTATGAAAAGTAGGGAATCAATGGCCTAGTGGTATTGTCGCTGCACTGCTAATCCAGAGACCCAGGTAATGTTCTGGGGACCTGGGTTCAAATCCCACCATGGCAGATGGTAGAATTTGAATTCAATAAATATCTGGAATTAAGAGTCTGATGATGACCATGAATCCATTGCCAATTGTCGGAAAAACCCATATAGTTCATTAATGCCCTTTACAGAAGGAAATTGCCATCCTTACCTGGTCTGGCCTACATATGATTCCAGACCCGCAACAATGTGGTTGACTCATAACTGCCTCTAGGCAATTAGGGATTCGCAATAAATGCTGGCCTAGCTAGTGACGCCTTCATCCCGTAATTGAATAAAGCAAAAGCATAACCCATTTATTGCATCAACATGAAGCACTGGGTATCACATTGCAACATCACAGAAATCAAGAAAAGTGGGACTATGTTTCAAGAAAGCTGGTTCATGGCAACCGAGAGCTCAAACACAGGCCTGCCTATGAAACTTAAGTGTAAGTTACAGGAACTAGATTGCACATCCCAGATGTACAAGAACAGGACACTCAGGGATGGTCACAATTGAATTCTCCAAGCTATAGAAACTGGAAAATGGAGATAAAATCAATTCCAATAAAATGCAAAGTTAAGCATCTATACACGTGGAATGCAGTGAGATTTAAGAAAGCAGATTACTGCTGTTTTCCCAACGATGGTTAGGGATGGATAATAAATACTGAGTTTGCCAGTGATAAATAATATCTTATGTCCCATGAACCGAAAGCCCTCATTTTCAAGGAGGAAGGTGGGGAGAAAGAGAAAGAACTCGAATAAAAGGTTGAAGAAGAAAATGCAAATGCTGTTGAACCTCAAGACTTTAGACAAAGACAGTATGGGCCGTGTGTTCTCATTTGAGGCATGTTAATAAATTAATCCTTAGGACAAATACGAGGGAAAAATTGCTCCTGCAACTGAAATCATTGTTCAATAACTTTGGAAGATAGCCATTACATTTGAAAATTCCTATAAACCAATTTCCTTCCTTAAACTAATTGTTGACAATCTTAACCCTCTGGAACAAAGATTGTCTAATTGCTAGGTGCAAGTATGTTCTTTATAACTATATTAAAAATTCACTTTACCCAAAAGAAAAAGCTTTTTTTTTTTTTTTTTTTAAAAAAAAAAGTTTCTTCTTCAGTCTGTAAGAATCAAGACAATCCCAATCCATTTCCGGGGAGGAAAGGTCTGAAACATAAAACTAAACCTAATGTGACAGGAAATAATCTTTTATAAGTGACCAAAATGATAGATCATGCAGTTGATGATGCTCACACTGGGAACTGAGCAGAGGGAGGCAAAGTAGAGGGATTTACATTTAACAACTGATTAAAACTGGCTCAAAAATGTTAGTAACATAGAAACAGAAGGGGGCGATTCAGTCCTTCAAGCCTGCCCTATCATTCTGGATCATGGCTGATTGTCAACTTCAAGGCCATATTTACACACCATATCCATACCCCTTGATGTCATTCGTAACTAGAACTAATGTTTGATGCTGATATGTTCCACTTCTCAAATTTGAGTCATGAACACATTGTGGGGGG